ACTCATCTGTGTTTATCTGAAACAATTGCATATTCCATCCTCTTATCTCCTATTCCTGTTAGTTCATTTTTGTTCAGTTTTAGAATAAAAGACTTCAGGATGCAAGTCTATCCCCAATGTTAACAGAAAGATTAAACTGAGAAATAATGCCTAATGCAAATCTTTATAGTAGGCTTCAATAACTAAAATGGATTTGAGTCTTAATTCCAGTCCTAATCTACCATTTTATGCTGTCTCTCAATGTACCCTGCATTATATATAAATTATTTATATTTTTATTATCAGCATTATTGAAATTGCAGTATTTGTATGATAGTAGTGCTGGGTTACTTGCAGGAGAAAAACAGTACCCATTCCGAAATGGAGTCTAATCAAAATATACAGGAATGAACTTTTCATTAAAATCAATTGGTATCAGTTTGAAAATTGTTTGGTATGGGATGAAATTTTGACTATCATTGTGGGAATCATAAATTTGTAGAGGTGGATTTAAAATGCTCAGGAATGGAAAGCGTTTCTAGCATGTTCATCAATTTCATCAAATATCTTCAGTTGACTACATCCCATGTAGAAACAAGGGCCAGCCAGCTAATTGGCTAAGTTGTACCAGTTTTAAAAACTACCAAGAGTGGAATTCAATGAAACATTTAACGCAGCACAAATACTTTACAGACATATAATATTATTTACAGTATTTATAGTCTGTCTTGTTTCTGGGAGCTTTGGGTGCATCCATGAGAATCTCTCCTTATTTAAATCACCATAGCAATACACTTGTTGAGTCAGTAACAGGCCCAAGGACACCCAGTAAGCTCCATGGTTGAGTGGGGATTGAATAAATGTCTCCCTGGTCTCAATGGAGAACCTTAAAAAGTAGCTTAATTTGTGAATCAAATGAAAGCAGTTTTTAGAATGTTTTCTGTTGTATTATAGCCATAAATGCCATCACCAGTTAAAATATTCAGTGAAAATCTTGTTGAAAATTATATTAAGGGAAATATTTTTTTTAAATCCTTTAAAAAGGGAATTTTTAAAAGGCACTTGAGCGAATGCTTTCCTTCGGGTTGGGGTGGGGTATTCTTTTTGGCAAAACATGAACATTGTTAACTAACTTATTTGAAGACAGATGGTTTATTTTATTTATTTATTTATTTATTTATTTATTCTCATACAAATGCATACTGCAATTTCAAAAGTATGAATCCTTAGACATGCCAAATTAAGTTGTTTTTTAATTGGATTTCTAGATCATTATCAATTATTATTTAACATCTTAAATGATGCATATGAAAAGCATTATCTTATTGTTTAAACACCATAAAATAGTGCATTTACAAGACTCTGGAGAGTTTTCCAAAGAATAAGAATTAAAATTCCTTCAGAAAGAGTATTGCATGTTGGCTTAACAGTTCATTTTTTGCACAAGCAAAATAAGTTTAAATTTGTATAATGAGTTTGAGGTGAAGAATTCATTGGTACAGATCAGCTTGCTTCTAGGCAAACCTTCTAATTATAATTCTATAAACTATGATAAGATAATACATTGCAGAGGTTAAGATTAGTTTCTGAGGAAAGTTAAGTTTAATTTTCAGTCCAAAGAAAATCATGTTGTTATCAAATAAGAACATTATTTGCTTTCAGAATTACATTCAGATTGAAAAACTAGCAATAACATTGTAATAATAACAAGATGCCATTTCCATTCTACAGAATATTTAGCAAATTTGCTGTTAAATAAAGCCATCATCAAATGAAATGATCAGTAATAAATGTGTATATTGAACTCAAGTAATTCATATTTGTGCTTACTGAGAGGAGTTGGAAAATTTGACTCATTGTAAAATTCTTACATACATACATAATTTTCATATAGGACATTCTACATATAACTCAAATGCACAAACAGACAACTATTTATGTGTCCTTGTTACTTACCTGGTTGTGGCAAAAAAGTCACTAAGCTATGATATTCACAAATCATAATCAAGGAAAAAAACTCCTGTAATAAAAAGCAGCCAAAGCAGTGGTTGTACATCTATAAATTTGCAGGACAAACACCTATATCAGTGGTGGCGAACCTATGGCACAGGTGCCAGAGATGGCACTTGGAGCCCTCTCTGTGGGCACGCATGTCGTTGCCCCAGCCCCCCTCCCTCCACGGTCCCCTCCTCACCAGCAGCCCCCCTGGAGGAGAGTCGCCCCCGGGCAACAGGGACAAGACTCCGTCCTTGCACCCCCATAGCGTGTAGATGATGCTGCCGGGTGTGGGCAGAGGGCATGGCTGCCATGGTGCTGCAGGGCTGCCTGGCAATCTGCTGCAGGCGCGTGGCCCTGCAGGCGGGGGGCAGGGGGTGGGTGGGGGCAGAGCAGGCAGGGTGGGAGACGCAGCAGGGGTTTTTGGGCACCCGATCTCTAAAAGGTTCGCCATCACTGACCTATATTATATATGGGCCAGTGAGTTTTATAATAATAACTGTAATGCAAAGGTTAAGTTTTGTATGGAGCATTTAATAGTTCAAAGAAAACAGAGAACACAAGGAGACATTGCTTCCCAGTAGTATGATTGTCATCATAGCAGAAGATTTTTTTCCCCCATACTGTCTTATAAATCATGTGCAGGAACATTAAACTTACATTTTGCCCAGCAGAACAGCATCAAATATTTATATACCCAAGTGAAAATAGTCTTTTGAGATCAGTGAGGGAGCATCGTCCCATTAATAAAAAATTCAGTAATAATGGAAGGTTCTCTTTTAAAGGGAGGGATTAACCTTTTACACGAACTGATTGAAGGTAAAGAAAAATAATTATTATAACAGAGCTTGAGTATTTAGTTTAATGGTTATGTGATATGGTGATTAGAACAAATGAGGCATTACTTGGCCATTTAGCATTAAGTTTTATTTAAGTAAATAGAATATGTTGAGATATATAGGATTAATCACACAAAAATGTAAGTAAAAACAAGTTAACTACTCAGGAAGTTAGTAAAAACAAGAAGGTTTAAATAGATGTTTTTAAAATAACACATCAGAAATTCAGTTCTTGATGACTTTTCATAATTGCATTGTCAAAGTGTTGTGCAATTTGCCACTATAATGTAGTGGGAATATTTGTTTAGCAAACAGAATTGCCATTATAGGAGCTTTAAGTATATGGAGGCAGGGTAATTAATGCTGCATGAATAGGGGCACAGATTTGTAGATATTTTAAAAGCAATGTGCTTTAATTCATTTTTCTCTAATGTGATTTCAGTTGGAATGATGGCCTCCATGTATTTCTCCAAGTTTTTATCAGAAAAAGTAGCCCAGAAATTGTGGTTTGATGTCTTATATAGGCAAATACTACAAAAAGACCTTAGAAAAGCATTAGTAAGTTGATTCAAGATCAGGCAGCATAGACAGGAAGTAGAGTTTAGTGGGCCTTTTCTGTGGCTTGTTTTTGCCAGTTGCTGATGTTAGTTATTAGCCTTTTTTTCATTTTCTACCATGTTTTCTTCCTACCTTGCTTTCTTTTTCTTCTTCAGGGCAGCCTTTAAGTTCAAAAGACATTAAATCTATGAATATTCATTTACTCTTGATATGGCTTACTCACAACAAGGCAGGTATTTTCCTTGGACCACATTTCCATCTATTATTTAATGGTTTACAGAGGCTTCAAATACTTTGTGAGGTAGAGCGACACATGCCATAAGTATTTGTTGATTGCTTTAATCATTTTATCTTATGACTGGAGTAAAATAAATGTCTCGGTTATTTGCTGGCTTATCCTTGGCACATCTCAGTAGATGTTGGATCTTCTTCAGTGATATAAATTGACCACTGGGCAATCAGGATAGATAATCTACAGCTAGGTTCTCTTTCCATGGTTTATATTTAATGGTGAATTGATATGGTTGTATTATCAGTGACCATCAAGTCAATGTTGTCTTAGTTTGATGCATGAAGTATAACAAATTAAAGCGTGATGATTAGTAAAAAGTTTAAATGACTTCCCTATTAAATAATGTAGATGTATAAATCCCATTAGATGGCTAGACACTCCTGTTCTATAGTGGAGTAACTTGTTTCTCAAGATAATAGTTTCCTGCTAATTAAGGCAATGGGCCTACATCCCTTAATGGACCTTGTTTGAGAGTAGCTCTGATACCTATGAGGCATCTATCTTCATTGTCATGTGTCATGAAAATCTGGTCTCTTGAGAAATAGAGCTTGGCGTATAGCATACTTCACATTCTGAAATGCTCTGTCACATCCCTCAGTTTGTGTAACTTCCATTGGTTTAGCCTTCTGAATAAGATCAATCAAAGGAGCAACTAAATCCCAAAAACTGGGGATGAATTATTGATACCATATAGCTTATTCAAAATGAATTGTTTTTTAATTATTTGTCAAATCAAATGGCGGTTGGCTTCCACTTGAGATCTCTGTGGGTTACTATATATCCTAAGTATTTGATATCCAGATATATCCTAAGTATTTGATATTTTAATAATAAACAGTCTTGCTTTTAGTAAATGCTTAAAGATATGATGAAAATGTGCCAAATGATCTTGCCAGAAGTCCATAAAGATATCTGTATCATCTAAATAATACAGCTGTAAAATCTTTATACCACTGTAGCACTAAATCCTTAAGCCCCTGAAAAGTTGTTGGACTTCATGGAGTCAGAACAATATTACAATAATGACAGTGGAAGCTTTACAATTTATGCATCAGTATGTTTGGGTATGTGAATGTTTCCCATATGTGGTATACTAGTACGAATTAAATCCAGCACTCATGATTACCAGCAATGCATTGCAGAATTCAAATGGAAACGTACTAGTTCTATTACTATCATTCATGCTAATAAATTTTAGCCCTCCAGAGATATATTCCAGCTTCTAGTATTTCATAACATGGTAAGAAAAATCTTGGATTGTGATAAATAATGCACAGATTGTTGTTAACAGATAATAGCTAATAATACAGTTTATAGAACTTATTTGTGTCGGACAGATACCTTCCAGGGCATGACAGATGGAGTATTCATCTTTGAAGATCCTTCTGTAGATGATAGCAGAAGTATGCAAGGCTATGATGCTATTGTTGTAGAGCAATGGACAATCTTAGATGTAAGTATATAATTTTGACGTATTTCTAATACCTTGATTCACAACTCAATGAGAGAAATTTTAAACTAATATCTGTATTTCTTTAAAAATAATTGTTTTATCTTGCTTATGTTTTATCTTCATTTTTCACCAATTAATTTCATACTGCATTAATTCTCCCACCAATGTTGTGATTGTTGATTAGCTTCAATGTTTACTTTTTTATTGTGCATTCATCATGATTTCTGTTTTAGCCTTTTAAAAACAATTGCCAAGAAAATTCTCAGAAAGTGTTTCTTTCTTACAGCAAATCTATGCAGAATAAAATTATTCATGCATCGCACATAAAATTTACCTGAGACTTCTTACATTATTATCTGTTTGTATGGAATGTACACTTCATAAAACAAAACTGCTTTTTTAAAAGAAGAATTTTTATTATTATGTCAAGTCTCCTTATAATCTACTTATTCCTGCTTAGTTCTAAAATTGTTGAACAACTCTTAGACAAAATTAAGCTATTTATTTAAATGAGATTTCAAAAAGAAAAATTATATAAAAACATTTATGTCCTATGATTAATTTTCAAGCAGAGATATAAAAATAAATTTAAGAACATTTATACTCAAACAGCATATTCAAGCACTCAAATTTTTACAGTGATCTAATTAATATTAATAGAAAAAACAAATTCAGTTGCTAATCAAAACTCAAAGAGCAAGTAGATACAACTTATTTATTTATTACATTTATAGGCTGCCCATCTTGCTGTCAGTTGATTCCAGGAGCTTTTAACAAGTTAAAAACAACAATGTAAAAACAGGGGTGTCAAATTGCAGGCCCGCGGGCCGGATGCATCATGGCAAAACCACACCCACCCCATTGCCGGCAATGGAAAAAAAGTCGTGATATGTTGTGGCACGTCATGTGATGATGCGAGTTTCACATCTCTGATGTAAAACATTAAAATAGTAAAACAATAAATATTAATAAAATTAACATATATGGCTAAGGAAGTATACAATACACAGTGGGGTAGAGGTAGAATCTTTTCTCAATTCACTAACACCTCCCGTGTGGAACATCCCTGTTGGGAACCGAGGTCAATCAGCAGAACCTGTTCTAAATCCCAGAAGGCCAAGAAGGTGGGGGCGGATATCACCTTGAAGGGCATGATGTTCCAGTGGGCAGGAGCTAGGGGAGAAAAGGCTAATCATCTCACTAGCGGTATTTCAGAGGAATGTAGTTATCAGGCATCCTTTGTTTAAATTTCCAGCAAATTTAGCTGGAAAAAGTTCCTAAATGAAGAGCCTTAAAGATGAGTGTTTGCTGTGTGTGTATGTGTGTGTGTGTGTTTACATACATACAGAAATACATTTTCAGTACACATAAACACACACAAATACATGACTGAGTTTTTACCCAAAAATAGTATTTTGAGAAACAAATTATGATGATCTAGTCAGGATTTAATTTGATCATGATGATTGTAAATATTATAATAATATAAGAAGTCATCACTTGCAAAATCTTCGCTATCCAAATAAAATCAAGCTATAGTAATAAAGATTGTTTACTGTTTGGGTCAATCCTACTAGATTGACTTCATGGCTATTTTGTTGGTTTTAAGATAACATTTCTTGACTGCTCTGTTAAAAATTGGGCCAAGTTCTAATCCCTATTTGTTTAGATTTATTGCAAAAGTTTTGTTTTCATTATTCAGCCTTTGGTCTAGTTCCTGGATGGAGCTGAATATCAGAAGAGGGGGAAGTGTTGTTTAATGTTATGTCAATCACCCTGGTTACTTACTAGTTTTAGGTAAGTGTCTTGCTCTAAACTCCAGTCCTATGAACAAGAAAATTCCCAGGAATCAAAGAAACAGAGTCTCTCTTGAGTCAAGATCAACTGGGGTTTTTTTTTGTCAACAATATGGAAGTTATTTGCCTTCTTCTCAATTTTTCAAAAATGTCCCAGTCTAAAATACAAACCTGAGATTTCTTGGTATCCAGTCAAGTCCATCAAACAGGACTGCTTAGGTTTTGCTGGTATTAATAACTATTTGCAAGCTTAGGAGATGGGGAGGGAGAGTCCAAAATAAAAACGAAATCAGTTGACAGGAAGACCATAAATAAAATATAATCTAGAGTAAAGGCACAGCAGAATTTGGGGGATAAAAACAAAGAAATAGAAACAGATGAGGAGTACAAGAGGCTACTGCAAGATGTCAAAAGCAGCCGAATGTTGCCTGTAAAGCTGCCAGCTGGTGGAAAAGCTGCCAGCAGGTGTAGGTTTCAATGCTGCATAGCTCTGAGCACAAGCATCTCTTGTTTACAACCATATAAAAGTAATTAAAATAAGAGGATGAGGAGCTTACTAAAGAGCTGCCACACGGTGGCTGTCTTGCTTCCTCTTTCTCTGTTGTTTAAAATATTGTAGAACTTTATTTTTGCAGTTTTCCTGAGCCTAGTTTTCTAGGATGTAGAGGCAGATTCTAGATCCAATCTGTATTGGTCACCAAGATCAGAGATTTAGACTTTTGAGCTTTTGGATTCATGCTGGAGGCCATCCTCAGGGAATTTCTCTTTAGCAGAGGGATAGAAGTTCCCTGAGGATAGGCTCCAGTATGAGTCTGAAAGCTTGGAAGACTAAATCTCTGATCCTGGTAACCAACTCAGATTAGATCCTGCAACATTATCCTGGGACACGTATATTTGCCTTCATTCGTGACAATAATTTAGGGAAGGATGGCAAATGGAGTGCAGCAGTTTTCTTCATTAACTCACTTGCCTCCAGAACTGCTGCTTGACTCAGTCTTACTTGGTCCAGCATCTGTGACTCTACTGGTTTCTCTTGAAAATCTTGCTTTAGCAGTTTCTACTCTACTTCTTCCTCTGGGGGTTTGTCAGAAGGAAGATAACACAGCTCAATGATCTCATACTCCTGTGGAGTTGTTTTCTTAATGTGCTATTTTTCTTCCATGATGGAATTTAGAGTGGTAGATTTGTTGTTAGACTCTCATTCAATAAATACTGGTTAAAAGTGGATGAAATACGCTTTCCAACCATTCTGAATTCAACATTAGCAACACACTGAAGTTCCTCTTAGCTTTTCCCTTGCTTTGTATATTGATACGGGTATGAAACTCTAGCACATCTTATAATTTTTATCATAAAAATTATGCAGACTTTCATTTTTTTCTTTCTGAATGGTCTGAGAAATGTAGTTCAAGTTGCATTTTCATATGCAGTTTAGTTCAACAACATGACCTTCCTTTGAATGGGAATTGGCATTGTCATTCTAATGAAAAAAAAACTTGGCATGCTTAATTTCTACAAATAGAGCAGCTTCACAAGTGTAAGCAACAGGAATATGCTCATCATAGTACTCTGTATGTGTGTAAAATGTCAGTATGCAAAAAATGTAAACCTTCCAGCTGCCACAGTATATGATTCTTGCCAGCAGTCAACAGGATGTAAGACAGCTGAGTTATTTAACCAAATGTAGAAGAAACTGATATACGGCTTTTAATAGCCACATGTGTCCTACTTCCTAATTACTCCAGTTCTACAGATATCAGACTTTATTAATTTCAATAGGCTTTGTGTGATTTAGCATTAAATCTTTTTTCCTTGTTTCAGTTTTGCTTGCATAGATAGATCTATTGTGCTATTTTAACAATTAATTGAAGGTCAAGATAAGGTTGAGATTTGTGGATTTACCTGCAGTTAAAAAAGATCCAGTATCTCTTCCAAAGGTGAATTGATGTTAAGAGCAGGGTCAGGTTTTGACAGATGGCTAAAATCATAGATTTATCCACCTGTAGGAACCTGCGTTGCAAGAAGGATGGGGTCTTTCTACTGCTTTTCCACCTGCAACAACTGATATGTTGGTATGGGGTGATGGAGGCTGCAGTCCTCAGCATTCTGGTCCTGTGGATTAAGCAAGAAACCTTTCCAGAAAAGTAGACGAGGCTCTCCCCATTTACTTTTCTGAAAATTTAATGCCCCACATGGCCTGCTGATACACACAGATCAAAGAGGTTCTGAAAGAAAAAACTATGACTCTCCTTTGAGCCCCCCCCCCGCACAACTTGCACATAAACTTCAAGAAACAACAGGGAGTGATGTTCCTTTAAGGAGTAATCTTTTATTTCAGCCAACGTGAATGTCCCTCTATGGCAGTGGTTCTCAACCTTTTTAATGCCGCAACCCCCAACCGGTCATAAGTCGAGGACTACTCAACTAGCGCAGCACCATTTGCAGAATGGGACTTTTGGCAGGCTCAGCAGGGCAGAGACAGCCTGGACAATTCCTATTGGCTTTTGAAAGCCAATAGAATTAGACTCTATTCAAGAGAGTCTATTCTATTGGCTTTCAAAAGCCAATAGAATAAAAGGGAGTAGCACAGCTAAGAAAAAAAGGGGGGGGAATGGCAGACTGCGTTGTTTGGTGACCCCCGTGAAATGGTCGTTCGACCCCAAATGGGGTCCCAACCCACAGGTTGAGAACCACTGCTCTATGGCCTGATATAATGTTTCGGGATCTAGCAAAAGAAAATATGATTTCAAACATTCATGATCTTCTTTTCAAGATCTATCCTATATCTCCTCTAGCATGCTGGCACTGTCCCTGCAATCTCTAGTGACAGAAATTAGCAAAGAGAGTATTTCCAGCCATGCTTTTGTGGAAAACAGCCTTATACTATTTTTGAATAAGGAACATATAGCCCAGACTGGAAGGGCATACATCTTTCATGAACCAGAACAATAATTGAGGTATGATATCTAATACACGTTATTGACAATATGCTGTTGTAGCTTAGAGTAGGGGTCCCCAACCCCCGGTCCATGGACCAGTACTGGACCGCAGCATGCCAGCAACCAGGCCACACATACCAAGCAAAGCCCCATCCGCGAGATGCTGGCAGCATACAAAACCATGCCCACTCTGGTCTGTGGAAAGACCTCTCCACGGAGGTGGTCCCTGGTGCCCAAAAGGTTGGGGACCTCTGCCTTAGAGAAA